TGGAGTCGTGGGGAAACACGGCCCCCTCATCCGCGCCCACTGAATCGAATCCTCGATCCTGGCATAACCAGAAGCATTTCCATGTCCCGTCTGCAAACTCATCGTCGCTGTCCCTATGCTGTCTTCCATTCGCAAAGGCCCGTCCAGACAGACTAAAACCACGTTGAGTTGCTTCTGCCAAATCCTCCGAGAAAAATCATGCTCAGATCTCCAGCTCAGATACTACAAAGCTTGTCTGCACCTCCCTTAGCTCCCTGCCCTGATGCTCCTACCAGGGAGGGAACGAGGACTGAAGCAGGAACTCCAGGCCCAGCGGTGAGACCCAGCACTTACCACCCCACTGATCTGGATTCAGCTCGGGTGCCCCACCCCCAACTTCCTAAAGCGACTCCTTGTCCCTTTGCCATTGGGATGTGCAGGGAACTAAGTTAGAAATCACGAGAAACGTGGAGAGGTTTGCTGGCGGCTCTGGGGAGGAAGCTTCGTTGCCATGATGAACAGAGAGCGTCCCCCCCCTTCCGAGTGAGCCTCCTCCTCTCCCTGCTGATGGGACACCAGGAATGCCTCGCCATCCTGCTTCTCACCCAGGGATTAGCCACGGACCAGGGGACCGGGCCAAGAGAAGCACAAGAAAAGGGAGCAAATCCGCTGGATTCAGCCCACCCTGAAGCCATGCCTTCCTCTGGGCTCTTTAAGAACACTACCAATGGGGCGGGGAGGCGCAGCCCCGCTTGCACTAGCAACGTCTCTGCACCATCCTGAGCACGCTGCAGCCCCTGTCTCTGGGGCGCAGTTTTCTGTGCCTGCCCAAAGCTGGGCCCTGCATGAAGCAGGCAGGTCAGGCCCTGCTTAGCACAAAACTAGCTCTAAGCATCCCCATCCTTTGCCCTCCACGGCTCCCTTTTCTCCGCCTCTTTCCTGATGCACGGTATTCCTTTTATTTTAACTTTAATGAAACATACGAGCATGGAAACCATATGAGTAACTTGGTCAGAGACAATTTATAGATCACTCAATACTTTGATCATCGCGTTCCCATGCATGGTTGAATTTGGTTTCCATAACCCCTGGAGCGGGGTGGGGTGGGATGGGGTGGGGGTGGGGGGTGGGGGGGGGGGGGGGGGTGGGGGGATGGGGTGGGGGGGCAGGAGGAGGTGGGGGGGTCCCCGGTGCCATTTCACAGATGAAAACCTGCGGCTCCTCCTGGTTGGGTGGCTTGTCTGGCATGGTGTCACTACCACGGGGGTAGCCCTGGGACCTGAGAACAGGTCACCTGTGCCCCATCCGGTGTGCTTTCCGCAGGCGGGAGGGCATTTAAAAGACCTGCACGGTCTTCCTGAGGGCTGGTGAGCTGGCCGTGGGTCCGGTCCAGGCGTTGAGGAGAAAGGCATGCTCCGCGCAGCTGGTGAAAGCCCTGACAATCTCGCTTCCTTCCCCCAACAGCTCTGCCCCCACATTGTTCTCAGCATTGTCCGCACTTCCCCGTGAGTCACTGCGTGAGTCAAGAGCCCGCCGCAGCCAGCTGCAGACACGCTCCGCTGGCTCGCGGGTGTGCAGCCCTCCAAGTGGGGCCCACCGCGGCGACACTCCCCTCCGAGGCCCCGGGAGGCCAGGCTCCGTGGCCAGCAAGCCACAGGGGACCTCCCCAGCCACCTGTTATTGTGACCCTGCTCGGGCCAGTTTGTTTTGATCAGAAGTGTTCCAAAGAGGAAATACAGCCTATATTTATTAAAAAGAGGAAAACGAGGCAAGGCTACTTGCCCAGCTCCCTCTCAAGTACTGAGAATTCACTGCCCTCTTCCTAAAACCCACTGGAGATTTGAGTGAAGAATACTTGGTCCATAGTGCATGTGACCTCCGGTTAGCAGGGTAAACTATTCATTTGGTTGACAAATTTTCCCAAGTTCCTCCATCAGCCAGGAGGGGTGGAAAAGCTTTAAGAGGATCAGCCCTAGTAAACTAACTCAGGTGACATCAGTACATACAGTCCACACAGGTGCCTGGAACAGCCCGCCTCATTAGGGCCTTCACGTTCGATATTGCTCCCAATCCACGCGTGGCTGGCTCCTTCTTACCACGCAACCCTTAGCTCACACGACAGCTCTTCACATCCTTCCTGACCACCGACCCCGAACAACAGCGTCACCACCTCTGTCATTCTGCCGCATTACCCGATTTGCTTTCTTGCAGACATGTCGCACTCGCTTATTTAGTTGTTTGCAGATTTAATATCTTTTTTTGCATCTCTACAATGCAAGCTCCATGAGTGTAAGATTCTTGTATGTCTTGATCACAGCCATGGATCACAGCGAAAGTTGAATACATATTTGTTAGGAGCATAAAGCAAAAGGAACTTAAAAAGTAGGTATGGGAAGTCTCATTTATTCATGTCTTCATCCAGTCTATTCAGTATACACTTATGAAGAATATAGGCGTGTCTAGAACTCAACAAGACTCTGGAGGAATTCAAGAGAATTTGAAGTCCTAGCCATTGATAAGCATACAAAACTTCCCAAATTGTCCCATGCAATATATTGTAACAGGAAATGTTTGGTTATGTCCTACAGCATCTGCAATCAACTTCAGCTAATGCTACCACTTCACACCTACCCTCTTCCTTCCTTGGCCTTTCTGTGTGTAGCACTAGAGTCCTAAGCAGGAGGATGATGAGCCAAAATGTGCCTAGCTCCTCCCTGAGGGGTAGACTTTCTGACTGTCCCTTCCTCCCCACCCCCAAAGCCCAAACTCATGAACCCTGTGAGGGCCTTGGGAAAGCCTCGGCAGCTTCAGCTTCCTGCACCTACCACCCCCACCTCTGCCTCCAGATGAGACGAGGCTGTCAGGGACAGATCAATTTGAGACTAAGAAGAACATTTGTGATGATGCCTCATGCTGCTCCTCTACCTAGATTAGCCTCTGCACAGTGGCTCAAGGCCAACGTCTCTTGCAGATTATAGCCTGGGCTAACTGGCTCTGCTGCTACCTTGTCCCTCACTCCATAGGACCTGCCTGGGTGCAGGTGACCTACAGGGCTGCCTCAGGTTGGAGCTGGGATAAAGGTGTTGCCTGTATCCCCTGCACCCAGACCTTTGAACTTGTGCTAAGAAAATGCATTGGTCTTAGGGTCAGTGGAGTCTTTGTGAGCCACTGTTCACCCACTCACCAGCTGTGTGAACTTGAACAAGTTTTCTAAACAATCTGAGTCTGTTTCCTTTATTGGGCAATGATGATCCCTACCTCACACCATTGCCATAAGGAGGAACCTATGTGAAAGCACCTGTAAGGTACCTTTTCTATAGTAGATAATAAATATCAGTTGAATATGAACTTTTCCACTGTATATATGAAATGGGCATCCTTTGTAGTATAGACAAAAATAATCTTACATGTAGCTTATGGCAGTGAGAAGGCTTTGCCGATATTAATTTTAGTGAGCCACAGATTTTCTAGGTAGACACATAAGTTAAAAGACAAATGACCCAAGCCTGGAGTGGGAGGGGTGGTGAGGAGCCCAAGAAAAAAAGAAGTTAAGAGGAACCACGCCATAAGGCAAAGTTCTAGAATACCACTGGGCCACAGTCTAAAGGACAGCAGTGAGCACAGCCCAGGGTCATGGAATTGTTGAGAATATACTTTGGGCTACATTCAGTTGCTATACCTGGAAACAAAAGGGACTTTTCCCACAAGGATCAGAAACATTTACGTAGAGCTCTGACTCATCCGTGGCAGAAGCAAGATGAATCCAAGAATAGAAATGTAACTTCTAAAGAAGGCTGGCCTCGGACACCGTGAATCTAACAAGGACCCCCCAGGAGCCTATAGAAACCAGGCAGACAATGCGAAGAGCTGAAGTAGAGGCCAGAGGAGGTAACCATGTGGACTGCTTGCATTGTGAGCAAGCACAGTACCTGCTGGTAACCCAGCCCTTAAAACACTGCCAGGTGGTCACAGGTCATGAGTTCATGACCTCTACCTACAGACCCACAAATTTCCTATTTATATGTAGTGTGTAACCCCAGATCCTCACATTGCAACATGCAGATTTCTTGGTGGAATGGCCTTCTGAGTGTGATGGTGCTGACCATGGGAAATGGACACGGCCAAAGAACAGAAGAGACGGTGGATCCAGCCCCTAGCCATGGTAGAGGGCTCCTCTTTGGGAACCTAGAAATTCCATCATCTGTCATCTAGACCATTCCGTATCACTGAAGTATGAATTTTTTTTTAATCCATGAAAATGAGATTGTAAAGTATTTATGAAGATTTTCTTATATAAAAAAGTAGTGTAATCTAGTTCTGGAAGATGACACAATTGTCTGTCTGAGGTGCCATCTTTACCTGGTGCAGTGATAAGGAGTCATCCCTGGGTGGAGACCCACGACTTTAAGCTGCTCACGTGAACTGCACAAGACTGACTGACACAGTTGCAAAGCAGAGATTGCCTGTTCTGACATAATCACCGCCACATCTCTGGCCCAACTTGCCCACTTGCAACTGGAATCCATGCAGATCATGCAGGAATGATTACACCAACCGGTTTTAGAGAGCATGTGAAGCGAATGACATACACTTTTGGAACATCCAGGAAACAATCAAGTGTCTCTTCTGAGTATCTTGGTGGTCCCTGTGGTATTGTCCAAGATGATAAATAGATACCTGAAATTTAAGAAATGAGGTTCTATCTTTGGTTGGACTTTTCATTTGCTGAATGGCCATGGGTAGGTCTCTTCACACCTATACCTGTTTCTCATTTGCAAATTGGATAATGATCTCTTTCGACTTCATTCTTGAATGACTGGGAAGGATGATAAGGACAGCATAATTCTCTCCAGACAATGGAAGTGTGTAGCACTCTGTCATCATCATTGCCGTCACACACCCATGGGATTGATTGGTTACATCAAAATAATCAAATACTTGTATTTCACAGTGGCTTTTTTGAAAATAGTTGTATTCTGGAAATAAAATCAACCTCACAAATAAGCACCAAAATACCCACTTGAAAGAGTTTTTTCTCAATTTTCTCTCTAGGTTTACACACATTGTTCATCACAAGTAAGAATATTGGACATAAAACCATTTTAGTATCCATGTAGCTGGAATAAGCTACCTCATCACCATTGAAGGCAGATTACAGATAAAATGAAATCATGCAAAACATCATCTACATTGCCTTGAATTTGTTTATTATTCCTTCCTAAGTGGATGAGAGGAATTAAAATCATAGAAACCAAGACAATAAAACCATTAAATCACGAATAAAGGAAAGATCACTAAATAATGAAGTGGAAGAAACAACTTCATCAAAAAGCATTGACCAAAGATAGTTATTTTAACAGAGTACAAGGTATAGCTCTATACATCCATATTTTAATAAATTTTTTAAGTTGCTCTTGCTCAGAGTGCTAAGAAAGATATTCAACTCCAAAACTCTTAGCTTTAACCTGTTCTATACAATTGGATTTTCAAGGCAAGTAGGATATGGGTAAATGTAACCACAGATTCTGAATTTAGTGTAAATTCTCACCTTACTTTTATCTTCCTCCCTCAATTCCCAGCCAAAATTTTTTGAAAAAGAAAGTGTCAAGGAGATCATCTGACAACAATGACCCTACTGTCTCAAATGCTTGCATTTTCTGAGTCTTAAATTCTTCTGTGATCTTCCAGAGAAAAGACCTTGGAGGTTCGGTTGTCCTCATTCGACACATCAGCCACAGCCTTCACCTACAGAAAACCAGAGTCATGTGTAAATAAGCATTCACGGAACCACTTTCAAAATATACAACAGCACATTTTCAGAAAGCAGTCTGTATCATAGGCCCGTCGATTTCTGGAATCACACCTCCCGCTGGCTAGGCACCAGTCAGAACTTATTTTAAGAATTCAAAGTCTTCTCTGTCAAAGACAAACCAGCTTGACTTTGGTTCCCGTGTTTAGATGGGGGAGCTGGCAGTGCTGGGGAGTCCAGGAGCTCACTGAGCTGTCCCAGGGTGCAGTTGCAGGGGACTGACCTCCCTGTGCTTCCCTAGCCCCACAGGAGGAATCAGGCAACTGCCTGAATTTGCACAAGTTTTCATTTCCTCCCCGTGCAGATCCTGAGGCTTGAAGGCTCTGTTGTTCAGGACACAGCCTGAAGGAGGAAGTTGAGTGCGTGTTGAGTGCTTCTCCCTGTGATATGACCCCTTCAACTGAAGACCCACCAGCAGAAATTGTGGCCCAGGCCTTGGGTTCGCTAAGGAATCAAGCTGAGTCCCATCTTTGTGTCGCAGAGGCTAGTAAGTAAGTCTTCCTGGGCACAGACCGGAGAGAATAGGCTTCACCTCTTCAGCCAGGCTTAGCGCCCAGGCAAAGACAATGAGCCGCTTTCCACAATGACCCTGAGGAGCAGAAGCAAAGCCATCTCCACCGGTCCCCTAGGAAGTGGCATGGGAGGCAGTTCAAAGAAAACGGACACTTTGAAAGCACGTGTGTTGGTGTGTTTGGGCTGCCTGAGAAATAAGCTCCAGGTCCCCATCGGGCATGCTGCAAAGCTGATGCCATGGGGGGTTCAGCCTGAGGATGACAGTGCTGTCCCCCTGCACAAGTGCCCAGAGCCACAACCCTGTGCTGCCCTAGAGGTGCCCCCATGAAGCCCATGTCTGGAAGGCAAGACCTACCACAGGTCACACGAGGTCTTGCTTATGACACGCCTTACCTTACAGCGGAGGTGCCTCCAACCTGTTTTCATCAGAATCATTCAGGTGTGTGTTCTGTGAAGTGGCTCATCCTGTTTAATTCGGAACTTCCCTACAGTTGCTCCATCAGCCTACGTTACTCTGGGCTTCCTTCCCTAACTACACACTTCGGATCCAGTTGCCACCTGAGAAACTGTGTTATGAGACGGCTGAGGCATCTAAGAGCTTTAATAAAGCATTTTTACTTGACTCACAAGTTTGCTTAGAGTAGAGGGTCTCAAAATACCATCTATTGGCCCGGGAGCAGCAGCAGCAGCAGCACCTGGGAACTTGCTGGAAGTATAAATTCTCAGCCCCCATCCCAGCCCTACTGAATCAGAAACTGGGGGCGAGGGGGCAGCCATAGGTGTTTTCACAAGGACTTCCACTGATTCAAGTGTGAGAACAACTGGCTTCACCGTGGAGGGTGAGGGTGAAATCTGTGAGTGCCATCCGAGTGTAGAATATTCTTTCCATGAAGCAAAGCTAGCCTTCTTCTGTTCAAGTAGGAAAAGAAACACGGGGTAGAATTTCACCTCGTGGATCTTCAAATCTGTTTCTCTTGGAGCAGAGCTCTTACCCAGCCAAATACAAGCGAGCAGAAAGTGCCCGGGGAGATGTTTTAAACACCCATTGTTCTGGCAAAGGAAGACATATTCTTTGCCTCTCTGTCACCTCCATGTAGCTCTGGCCAGCCGAGTCACTCAATCAGACTGATGTGAAAAGCAGACGACTTGCGGTTTGTCTCTACCAGAGCTGGGTCCAGCAAGACCCTTTTCAAGATTCAGAAACAAAGTAAGTTGGTGGAAAATGACAACCACGTAATCTTTGTCACAGAGACAGAAGAAAAATACACTCAGCCTTTTCTGATCTCTTCTCACTGGAAAACGGGGACACTAGATGCACGGTTTTTCCTTGATGACATTGTAGAATACCATGCCTCTCAGAAAAATGGCAGGTGAAATGGAGAGCTACTATTTCTAACATTTGCTTTTTGTATGAGAAAAAGAAGAGAAGCAAACATTATACATGTTAAACTTGTATTTCAGAGAATGGAGAATGTTAACTCTCTGTTTCAGAGAAAGCGGGTCTTTCCTGAGAAATTTGCCAGTGGTGTTACGGTTTTCACTAAGGAACCAGTGGCCCGGGTTGAAAACCTGGCAACTTGAAAGATCTTAGGTCTCTCAAAGGATATAAAAACCCATTTTGTCAGAAACATCAGACTTGTTTAACAAAGATATTCAGTTTTAAAAGATATGAATAACATTTGAGTCCCTCTCATGTCTCATTCTTAATCATTCAGTTTGATTAGGTGCCATTTAAGTATGTTAAAACTAATCAATAAAAGGAAATGAGAAACTGCTGTATTGTGTGTCTCCACCATTATTTAAATATAAAAGAAGTATCTTTCAAGGAAGTTTCATGGGGTAAATTGTCAATTCTCATTTTTTTTTTTTTTTTTTTTGAAATAGAGTCTCACTCTGTTGCCCAGGCTAGAGTATCATGGCGTCAGCCTAGCTTACAGCAACCTCAAACTCCAGGGCTCAAGCAATCCTTCTGCCTCAGCCTCCTGAGTAGCTGGGACTATAGGCAAGTGCCACCATGCCCGGCTAATTTTATATATATTTTTTAGTTGGCCAGTTAATTTCTTTTTATTTATTTGTTTATTTTTTAGTAGAGACAGGGGTCTCGATCTTGCTCAGGCTGGTTTCGAACTCCTGACCTCGAGTGATCCACCCACCCCGGACTCCCAGAGTGCTAGGATTACAGGGCTGAGCCACCGTGAATTCTCATTTTTATGAAGATAAATTCATTTTTGTGTGGAATTATGTTGTACCCTATCCAGGGCATAAAAATGAAGTTTTAGGAAACTGAGGTAAGCTTCTTGTTTTGAACCAAAGGTTGGCTATGGTTACCCAAGACTCAGTCTGGGGACAAAGTTCCACCTAAGCAAGGAGTGAAGGGTAACAGGAAAGAATAAAGGTCAGATTCTAGAATTTAGCAGACTTCAAAAGAGAGTGAGGTGTGAAGAAAGAAGGGGCACATGGCCTATGTGGACAGCAGGAACCCTGAACAACCTAAAACTTTTATCGGTTTCGACCCCTTGGCACTTATCTGGATATGTGCTCTCCTGCCACTGTCCTGTCTACACTGCCTCTCTGAGGAGACCTATTAAGTTCTCCTTGTGTTTGATTTTCATTATTGCCTCCTGCCAGAGAAATCAATTGATATTAATTTCCAGGAACAACTAGTTGACAGCAATTCTAGTCTATGAGTTTTGTTGTAATGCAATGTAGCTAAAATTTTATATAAATACTTAAAATTTTAAAAACCCAACCAGATGGAATCCAAAACAATAAGGTACATAGATTTCTCAGAAGTGTAGTTGGAAAAAAAAAATAGCACAAATGTGCAAAATTGGAAATGGCAAAAAACCGATGAAGTTATTTTAAGAAAACTATGGGTAACTCTCTGCTAATAATTCTGAAATGGATGATTGGGGGAGATGATATATATTGCATCAAGAAGAAGTAGAGCATTTTAAGAAATGTATAATCATGAAAAAAATTGGCACTACTCTCAGTGAACTGCCTCCCCTAAAAGCCCTTATAGCTTAGTTTTATAGGCAAATTTTTATAACTCTCTGTAAAACAAACAGTCCTTGTGCTATATACATTCTCACAGAAAATCTGATAAACTTTTCTATTTGTTTTATGACCATACCATAACCCTGATCTAAAAGCTAACAAAAGAACACAAAGTAAAAAACTGAAGATCAATCCCACTTATAATAGGATATTAAAAACCTAAACAAAATAACACTCCAATGTAGCAACACAGCAAAAAAATAATAAATGACCAAATATGGCTTTTTTATAAATGTACAGATAGTTAAATAAGCATTTCAATAGATAACAAACATTTAACAACAATTCCTAAATTTAAAACAAACAAGTATTTAGCAAACTAGTTATAGGATACTACTTAACAATCCAAATAATATATCTTAGATCAAGTGAATATTTTAACAGTGAAATGTTGAGTGCCCCTATAAATATCAATAGATGATTAAGTTACAGAGACACCAACTCTCACCACCATATGTAATACTCATATATATTCATATGTGTGTGTGCACATTTATATTCCAGCCAATGCAGTATCAAACCAACAGATGCATTCACACTGGCCTCATGGACATGTGAGCTGGAAAGAAAGAGATAAAATTTCTTTCCAATGTATAATTGCCTATAAAAAGAAACAGACATGTACACACATACATGAACAGAAACTCAAAATAAATAAAATTCAATAGTTTTATTTTTTGTATATTATCATACATATATACACACAGAATTAGAAAACATAATGAAAAAATTATCTAATTCACAATTACAACAATACACAAAATACCCAGGTATTACCCTAATGGGAGCTGTATGGGACATGTAGAAATATCTAACTTTACAGAAGGACATAAAGGAGGACATACAGAAGGACATATGGAGGACATATGGACATAAAGGAGGACATACAGAAGGACATAAAGAGAAAGCTAATAAATAACCTCGTGAATGCTTAAAAAAAGATGTCAGTTCTTCCCAAAGAGATCCAATGGATTCAAAGTATTTCCGATCAAAAAAACCCAATAAGCAACTTTATATTCTCAGAAAAACTGCTTTGGAGAGTTTAAGTAAGAGACCCAAGGAAGACACCCCACTGTGAACTCCGCAAGCAAATGCCCAGGAGAACTTCAGCTTCATCAGGCAACATTAACTGAGCTCGTGACGTTAGACAAACAGCAATCACCAACACTGGTGACAAGAATACTATGCCCACTCCTAGAGCAGCTGGCTAGAATCCGGAAGCACTGGCAAGTGCTCAGGTGTGCTCAGGTGTGCCACTAGTAATGAGAACAGCTGGCGCCCAGTAGGGAGCAATTGTGGAGAACAGTGACTGCTCAGAGCAGGTCGTCCTCAGCTGCTCCTTAACATCACAACCCAGCTGCAG